TGGTTCCCTAGAGACTAGGACGCGAAACAATGGCTTCAAACTACAAGAAAGGAGATTCCATCTGAACGTGAGGAAGAACTTCCTGACTGTGCGAGCCGTTCAGCAGTGGAACTCTCTGCCCCGGAGTGTGGTGGAGGCTCCTTCTTTGAAAGCTTTTAAACAGAGGCTGGATGGCCATCTGTCAGGGGTGATTTGAATGCAACATTCCTGCTTCTTGGCAGGGGGTTGGACTGGATGGCCCATGAGGTCTCTTCCAACTCTTTGATTCTATGATTCTATGATTACCTATATGAACGTGCCTCCCTTTACAAACATTCTAGGAATTTAAGATCATTTGGGGAGGCCCTCCTCTTGATCCCGCCTGCCTCACAGGCACACAGTGGCAAGAAATATAATAGCAAGGAACTGGAAAATAGTAATTAATCTAACACCTGAAGGTATAGGGAGGTATGGAGCGTAGCCTTAAATGATAAACTAACAATGGAAACGAGGGTATTCGCGGGGGGAGGTGGGACTAACAAATCGGATTTTGAGGCATACTGGTCGGTCTTTATTAAATATGCTTTAGCAAGTATTTATTTTTATTTAGCGTGTCAGGGGCAACCAGACAATTGTATTACATTTCTAACAAAACAAAACAAACAAACAGAAACAAAACAAAATTTGCAAGCTTGGTAGTTGATTAAATGTCCTTTGAGCAGTATCTGGCCACTTGGAGTGCCTCTGGTGTTGCTGCAAGAAGGTCCTCCATGGTGCATGTGGCAGGGCTCAGGTTGCATTGCAGCAGGTGGTCAGTGGTTTGCTCTTCTCCACACTCGCATGTCGTGGATTCCACTTTGTGGCCCCATTTCTTAAGGTTGGCTCTGCATCTCATGGTGCCAGAGCGCAGTCTGTTCAGCGCCTTCCAAGTCGCCCAGTCTTCTGTGTGCCCAGGGGGGAGTCTCTCATCTGGTATCACCCATGGATTGAGGTTCTGGGTTTGAGCCTGCCACTTTTGGACTCTCACTTGCTGAGGTGTCTGTAGACCTTAGAAAACTATTTCTTGATTTAAGTCATTGACGTGCTGGCTGATACCCAAACAGGGGATGAGCTGGAGATGTCACTGCCTTGGTCCTTTCACTATTGGCTGCTACTTCCCGGCGGATGTCAGGTGGTGCGATACCGGCTAGACAGTGTAATTTCTCCAGTGGTGTAGGGCGCAGACACCCTGTGATAATGCGGCATGTCTCATTAAGAGCCACATCCACTGTTTTAGCGTGTGAGATGTGTTCCACACTGGGCATGCGTACTCAGCAGCAGAGTAGCATAGCGCAAGGGCAGATGTCTTCACTGTGTCTGGTTGTGATCCCCAGGTTGTGCCAGTCAGCTTTCGTATGATATTGTTTCTAGCGCCCACTTTTTGCTTGATGTTCAGGCAGTGCTTCTTGTAGGTCAGAGCACAGTCCAGAGTGACTCCCAGGTATTTGGGCGTGCTGCAATGCTCCAGTGGGATTCCTTCTCAGGTAATCCTCAGATGCTACTAAGACCATTCCTGGAACTTTGGGTCGTTTCTGTTGTTCATCCCTGTGTGTTTCTTGGACACACAGCGCATCGCATTTCTTATCTTGGCACAGTTCATAGAGCAGTTGTTCTTTGGCAGCTGACATGCCTTCAATGTTGATTGAGATTATTGTCATGGTTGGTCCTGAAAAGGTCCGTTGGTTGTTTTGTTTGCTTGTTTGTATGCTGCAAGTCGCTTCTGGTTGCTTCTAAGGTGAGAAAATCAACCGTCTATGAAGACATTGCCCAGGAGACGCCCGGATGTCTTGCAATCCTGCGAGGAGGCTTCTCTCATGTCCCCTGATTAATGGTTGATTTATAAATATACTAGCTGTACCCGCCACGCGTTGCTGTGGCCAACCTTCCCCTATCTCCCCTTCTTTCCCTCCTTCCTTCACTCCCTGTTTCCTTCCTTCCTTCCTGTCTTTCCTTCTCTCCTTCCTTCCTTCTCTATCTCTTTCCTTCCTTCCCCTTTTTCTTTCTCTTCTGCTGTCTCTCTTTTCTTCCTTCTCTCTCTCCTGTCTAGATCCAGGGACTTATCCCCTTCCTTCGCTCCCTCTTTCCTTCCTTCTTCCTTTTTCTCTTCTGCAGTCTCTCTTTTCTTCCTTCTCTCTTTCCATCTTTCCTTCCCTCCCTCTTTCTCTACATCTTCCCCCCTTCCTTCGCTCCTTCTTTCCTTCCTTCTTTCCCTTTTTTCTTTCCTTCTCTCCTCCCTTCTTTCTCTAACTTTCCTTCCTCCCCCTTTTTCTTTCCCTCCCTCTTTCTCTCCTTTCTTCCTTTTCTACCTCATTCCTTCCTTCTTGCTTTCCCTCCCTCTTTCTCTCCTTTCTTATTTTATTATTATTATTATTAACTTTATTTGTACCCCGCGAGCATCTCCCGAAGGACTCGATGCGGCTTACACAGGCCGAAGCCACAAACACAATATAAGAAAACATAACATAGCAATAACAAAGCAAATCAACAGTTAAGCAAAAACAGCAATAACAATACATCAAGACATATTAAAACTTATCTCTACCAAGCCATATTGTAACCATCAAGTTTGTGCCAAGTTCAACATCTTAGTATTGCAACAATTACGCTCTGTTAACAATAAACTTGTTCTCTCTGTGTTATAAATCTGCCTCCTCCATTGATTTTACATTTGGTGCAATCCACTCTACCAAAGTTGCCTCACAACGCAGATAGGGATAAACAGAGACTTCAATTCCAACGTCTCTATATATATAATGGTGGCGGTGTAATCAAGCAGTTTTGGGACTTCCTTATAATTTAGGTTGAAATTAGGTGGATTAACATACATATTTACTTAATTTTGGTAATCCCATTTAGGTGGGATTACGCTTCCTTTGGAACACAAAAAGAAGGAAGCAGACTAGATGTGCTCATTATGGTTACTATTTAGGCAAAATGTAGGGGGCGCGCGGGCGCGCGTGCGTGTGCCGCACCGGAGGGGGGGGGGGGCGCGCGCGTGTGTGCCGCGCCGGGGGGGGGTGAGGGGCCATGTGTGTGCGCGCGCCAGGGAGTTTGCGCCAGTGCGCATGCTCAGTTGCTTTGCCGTTTATTGTGGTTGTTGTTGTGTGTTTTTGATTTCTGACTGGATTAGTTTGTACCTTGTTGGTTGCCCTTGGGGCATGGGAAGTTTGGTGGAGTTTCGTTGGGGGGTTTTAGAGTTTTGTTTCCTCATACGACGCCAGGAGGAAATTTATATATATAGATGGCAAAGGAAAAGATACTTGTTCAGGCCTTGGTGGTGGAGCTATGTGTTTTGTAAAATGTTCACTGTTTTGTGTTTTGTTTACACTGTAAGTTCTTATTGTATGTAAATAAAATCTTCAATTTATATATATATATATATATATATATATATATATATATGGTACTACTGTTAATGTATAACAACATATAATGATATACTATTTTATTGTTGTATATTTGTATATTTTAAGTTGCAATGTTTTCGATGGTGAGCCGCTTTGAGTCTCCGTATGGACAGCTAAAGTGGGATATTATTAATTAATTAATTAATAAAAAATAAAACACTCTCCACCTAATAGCAACATTCACACTTGCTTCAAACGGACATGGGTTCTTCCTCCCACCCTGGACATTATTCCACAGAGGGTGCCTCCAGGGAACAACAGCCAGGCTACCTCTATGCAGACACCCTCACTGATTGAGTTTGCAGCTGAAAGGCGTCTCAATGCGAATCGAGCTGGCTCATTGCAGCAGTCACACTTGCTTCTTCCTCCCACCCTGGACATTATTCCAGAGGGTGCCTCCAGGCAACAACAGCCAGGCTACCTCTATGCAGACACTCTCACTGATTGACTTTGCAGCTGCAAGGCTTCTCAATGCGAATCAAGCTGGCTCATTGCAGCAGTCACACTTGCTTCTTTCTCCCACCCAGGGTATTATTCCAGAGGGTGCCTCCAGGCAACAGCAGCCAGGCTACCTCTATGCAGATACCCTCACTGATTGACTTTGCAGCTGCAATACTTCTCAATGCGATTTGAGCTGGCTCATTGCAGCAGTCACACTTGCTTCTTTCTCCCACCCAGGGTATTATTCCAGAGGGTGCCTCCGGGCAACAACAGCCAGGCTACCTCTATGCAGACACCCTCGCTGATTGACTTTGCAGCTGCAAGGCTTCTCAATGCGAATCAAGCTGGCTCATTGCAGCATTCACACTTGCTTCTTCCTCCCACCCTGAACATTATTCCAGAGGATGCCTCCAGGCAAGAACAGTCAGGCTACCTCTATGCAGACACCCTCACTGATTGACTTTGCAGCTGCAAGGCTTTCTCAATGCCAATCAAGCTGACTCATTGCAGCTTTCACACTTGCTTCTTTCTCCCATCCTGGACATTATTCCAGAGGGTACCTCCAGGCAAGAACAGCCAGGCTACCTCTAGGCAGACACGCTCACTGATTGACTTCGCAGCTGCAAGGCTTCTCAATGCGAATGAAGCTGGCTCATTGCAGCATTCACACTTGCTTCTTTCTCCCATCCTGGACATTATTCCAGAGGGTGCCTCCAGGCAACAACAGCCAGGCTACCTCTATGCAGGCCACGTCACTGATTGACTTCTTTCTCCCATCCTGGACATTATTCCAGTGGGTGCCTCCTGGCAACAACAGCCAGGAGGCTTCTCAAGGCCAATCAAGGCTTTGAGGCTTTGGCTTCTCAAAGCCAATCGGGCAACGACAGCCAGGCTACCTCTATGCAGACACCCTCACTGATTGACTTTGCAGCTGCAAGGCTTCTCAATGCCAATCAAGCTGGCTCATTGCAGCACTCACACTTGGACATTATTCCACGGGTATACACACTCTTTGATGCCTTCACTTCCAACAGGCCTGAAGAGAAGAGGCCTGCGGGGAAGGCCCCGTCCCTTCATCTCCTCCCCTCACAAAATAAACAAACCCCGAGGCCGACAAACCAGAGTAGGCCTCACCTAGAAGCCTCCAGGCCTCTCCCCGACCGGCCAGCTGCCAGCCTTCCTCCTCGGCACCCGCCTCAGGTCGCTCTTCAACTCTCCGGCCTGCTTCGCTGAAGAGAAGCCGCTTTCCTCTAACAGGCGACGATTCAGCGCGAGGCTTCCTGGGAGTCGTAGTCTTTGAGAGCTCCCTCTCCGCGGAAGTGGCCGACAGGGGGACTCGGTTTCCCAGGCTGCATTTCGGCGCAGCTGTTTTTGTCGCGAGTCGAACGAAAATACGGCAACCGCCAGGACTCAATTCGCGAAGACTTATTGTTTTCTGTCAACATAGGGAAAGGGGATTGTGTGCAGTGGGGAGAGCAAGTCAGAAGGGAAAAGCAAGTGGCTTGAATGGCCAAATAATCCAGATGATCTGCTTTGAACTGGCCAGATTATCTGCAGTGTAGACTCATATAATCCAGTTCAAAGCAGATAATGTGGAGTGTATGCTTTGATAATCTGGATTATATGGTGATGTGTAAATGCATATAATCCAGTTCAAATCAGGTAATGTGGATTATCACCTTGAATAATCTGGATTACATGGCTGTGTAGACGCCATTAATCCAGTTCTAAACAGGTAATGTGGATTATCTGTTTTGGTAATCTGGATTATGTGGTGGTGTAGACTCATAATCCAGTTCAAATCAGGTAATGTGGATTATCACCTTTAATAATATGGATTATATGGTGATGTGTAGACGCATATAATCTAATTCAAATCAGATAATGTGGATTATCACCCTTGATAATCTGGATTATATAGCGATCTGTAGACACATTTAATCCTATTCAAATCAGGTAATGTGGATTATCACCTTTGATAATCTGGATTATATGGCGATGTGTAGACGCATATAATCCAATTCCAATCAGATAATGTGGATTATCGCCTTTGATAATCTGGATTATATGGCAATGTGTAGACGCATATAATCCAATTCAAAGCAGAAAATGTGGATTATCGGATTTGATAATCTGGGTTATATGGCAGTGTAGACTAATATCCAGTTCAAATCAGATAATGTGGATTATCACATTGATAATCTGGATTCTATGGCAACGTGTAGACTCATGTCATCCAGTTCAAATCAGATAATGTGGATTATCACATTGATAATCTGGATTATATGGCAATGTGTAGACGCATATCATCCAGTTCAAATCAGATAATGTGGATTATCGCCATTGATAATCTGGATTATATGGCGATGTTTAGACACATATAATCCCATTCAAATCAGATAATGTAGATTATCACCTTTGATAATCTGGGTTATATGGCAGTGTAGACTAATATCATCCAGTTCAAGGAGATAATGTGGATTATCACCTTTGATAATCTGGATTATATGGCAGTGTAGACTAATATCATCCAGTTCAAAGCAGATCATGTGGATTATCACCTTTGATAATCTGGATTATATGGCGGTGTAGAGTCATATCATCCAGTTCAAAGCAGAAAATGTGGATTATCGGATTTGATAATGTGGGTTATATGGCAGTGTAGACTCATATCCAGTTCAAAGCAGATAACGTGGATTATCGGATTTGATAATCTGGGTTATATGGCAGTGTAGACTCATATCCAGTTCAAAGCAGATAATGTGGATTATCACCTTTGACAATCTAGGTTATATGTCAGTGTAGACTAATATCATCCAGTTCAAAGCAGATGTGGATTATCACCTTTGAGATAATCTGGATTATATGGCAATGTGTAGACGCATATAATCCAATTCAAATCAGATAATGTGAATTATCACCTTTGATAAACTGGGTTATATGGCAGTGTAGACTAATATAATCCAGTTCAAAGCAGAAAAAGTGGATTATCACCTTTGATAATCTGGATTATATGGCAGTGTAGACTCATGTTGTTGTTCATTATCTACAGTATAGACTCATATAATCCAATTCAAATCAGATAATGTGGATTATCGCCTTTGATAATCTGGATTATATGGCAGTATAGACTGGTCCATGAAGTCTTCGTGACTTCATGGACCAGCCCCCGCCAGAGCTCCCTGTCGGCTGTCACCACCCCCAGCTCCTTCAAGGTCAGTCCAGTCACTTCAAGGATGCCATCCATCCATCTTGCCCTTGGTCGGCCCCTCTTCCTTTTGCCTTCCACTTTCCCCAGCATCATTCCCTTCTCTAGGCTTTGCTGTCTCCTCATGATGTGGCCAAAGGACTTCCACTTTGTCTCTAGTCTCCTTCCCTCCAGTGAGCAGTCGGGCTTTCTTTCCTGGAGGATGGACTGGTTGGATCTTCTCGCAGTCCAAGGCACTCTCAGAGCTTTCCTCCAACACCACAGCTCAAAAGCATCTCTCTTCCTTCGCTCAGCCTTCCCTAAGGTCCAGCCCTCACATCCGTAGGTGACTACAGGGAAGACCATGGCTTTGACTAGGCAATGGATCTTGGTTGCCAGTCTGATGTCTTTACTATTTTATCGAGATTGGACCTTGCTCTCCTCCCAAGAAGTAAGCGTCTTCTGATTTCCTGGCCACCGTCTGCAACTGCGGTAATTTTCCCCAGCAGACTCATATAATCCAGATAATCGAAGATGATAATCCACATTATCTGCTTTGAACTGTGTTATGTGAGTCTTGTCATGGTTTAGACTCAGTCCCAATTCACCTTCTGCCAAGCAGGAAAAACACAATCAAAGTACCCCTGACAGATGACCACCCAGCCTAAAAGCCTCTGAGGCAGAGAGTTCCACTGCTGAACTTTCTCCTTATGGTCAAGAACTTCTTCCTAATGTTTAATGGGATCCCCTTTCCCATCATTTGAACCCATTGCTCTGAATCCTAGTCTTCAAGGCAGCAGAAAAGAAGCCTCCTTTTAAATATATATATATTTAAAAGGAGCCTGCAATTGTCTGAAAACTAGGATTGAAATACAATATACAATAAGTTTCAGCTGAATTGCCAAACACTATAGTTCTGCGTTAAGGCACGTTGCGAAAGGGAAAGCAATTATCTAAATCACATCCGGCAGGAAATAAATAAAGGCTGTTTCTGGAACTCATTCCCATCAGCCTTTTTTATTGTTTTCTGGAGCAAAGTCCAACTACGGATAGTAATCCGGAGGAGGAAAACACCATAAGGCTCCGTTCAATGTTCTCTTATGAGTGTACTTTAGCATTGCCGCAGAAGACCTTTAGCACTGCCCAGGTTGAATGAATCCATCTAAAACACAGACTACCACCTCACCCGCCTCATAGGAAACCTGCTACAAAACAGGAGCTTTTTTGTTGAGTTCCAGGGCCAGAGAAGCAGAAGGCGGAAACAGAAGAACGGCCTGCCTCAGGGAAGCGTGCTTGCTCCGTCCATGTTCAACATCTACACAAATAACCAGCCACTGCCAGAAGGGATGGAGAGCTTCATCTATGCTGATGATCATGCCATCACTGCTCAAGCAGGGAGCTTTGAGATGGTTGAATAGAAGCTCTCCGAAGCTCTAGGTGCTCTTACTGCCTATTACAGGGAAAACCAGCTGATCCCTAACCCATCTAAAACACAGACATGTGCTTTCACCTTAAGAACAGACAAGCATCCCGAGCTCTGAGGATCACCTAGGAAGGAATCCCACTGGAGAATTGCAGCACACCCGAATACCTGGGAGTCACTCTGGACCGTGCTCTTAACTACAAGAAGAACTGCCTGAATATCAAGCAAAAAGTGGGTGCTAGAAACAATATCATATGAAAGCTGACTGGCACAACCTGGGGATCACAACCAGACACAATGAAGACATCTGCCCTTGCGCTATGCTACTCTGCTGCTGAGTATGCATGCCCAGTGTGGAAAACATCTCACCACGCTAAAACAGTGGATGTGGCTCTTAATGAGACATGCCGCATTATCACAGGGTCTGCGCCCTACACCACTGGAGAAATTACACTGCTTAGCCAGTATTGCACCACCTGACATCCTCCGGGAGTAGCAGCCAATAGTGAAAGGACCAAGGCAGAGACATCTCCAGCTCATCCCCTGTTTGGGTATCAGCCAGCACGTCAACGACTTAAATCAAGAAATAGTTTTCTAAGATCTACAGAGACACTCGCTGGAACACCTCAGCAATGAGAGTCCAAAAGTGGCAGGCTCAAACCCAGAACCTCAATCAATGGCTGATACCAAATGAGAGACTCCCCCCTGGGCACACAGAAGACTGGGCGACTTGGAAGGCACTGAACAGACTGCGCTCTGGCACCACGAGATGCAGAGCCAACCTTCAGAAATGGGGCTACAAAGTGGAATCCTCGACATGCGAGTGCAGAGAGGAGCAAACCACTGACCACCTGCTGCAATGCAACCTGAGCCCTGCCACATGCACAATGGAGGACTTTTTTGCGGCAACCTATAAAAAGGCCCTCCATTGTGCATGTGGCAATAAGGGTCAGCTAACACCTCCCAACAAAGGATCCCTTCAGGCAGGAAGAGCCAGGCTTTGAAATTGCAAGGCTATCCGATCTGGTTACCAGTATTTAAAAACACCAGAATCAAGACAGTAAATAAAGAGCAACACTTAGAAAACAGGAAGTTCCAGACTTGAAAGAATGAGGGCCAGCTAACACCACCCAACAAAGAATCCCCCAGGCAGGAAGCAGCCAGGCTTTGAAGCTGCCAGGCTATTCAGTGCTAATCAAGGTGGCCAATTGCAACACCCACACTTTCCTCAAGCATACAAGAGCTCTTTCTCCCACTCTGGACATTATTCCACAGATATATAAACCCCATTTGCGTAGTTTCCAACAGACTGCACAATGTCTGAGGATGCCTGCCATTGATGGGGGCAAAACGTCAGGAGAGAATGCTTCTAGAACATGGCCATACAAACTGACAGCAACTCAGCGATTCCGGCTATGAAAACCTTTGACAACACATAAAACACATTCAAAGAATTGATATGGACTTCAAATAGTCTATTGGGTACAATCGAAAATATGGGAATATATCCGAAAATAACATCAGATCATGCTCCAATTTCAATTGATATTAAAATCCCAAAAAAAACCCAACCAACCTGGAAATTAAACGAATATTTATTAAAGCCTGTATTTAAATATTATATAGCTTCTTATACCTTCTGTCATCAAAGGAGACTAAAATATTTTATTGAATACGAAGCACACCATTTGGATATAAGATACATTATTATGATAAGAAGAGAGAAAATAAGATTCACATCTTCCCCATTCTCATCGTATCAGTGAAGGTCAGTTGCTTAAGAACCCCGTTTGGCTTTCTTAATGCTGCCTCGTTCTGCATCCAAAGCATCCAAACCAGAATCACCGGTTGCATTATCAAAAAATCTGACCTTCCGACAAAGCAAGCCAGCTCCCAAAACAGGTTTGTTTCTTCCTTCCTACCTACTTTGCTCTAAGATGCGCTAAGAAGCAAAAACAGAGAACGCCCTCTAAGTCTTTGGTCATGGAGTTTGTGTCGGGATCAACCACACTTAAGTTGCAAGGTGTGATCGTGTCTCTCCGGATGATCGTTCAGGACGCTTTTCCCCCGCCTCAATGTGTCCTCTTCTCCGAAAGATGGATGCGCTTGATCCCCCAAAACCAGAGCCATTCTGGTAGGTGACGTCCAAACATAAGCTGGAAAGCAAGATATGCAACAAAAATTAGATTATTGAAGGCTTTCATGGCTGGAATCACTGTGAGTTTTCCAAGCTGTCTGGTCATGTTCCAGAAGCATTCTCTCCTGACGTTTCACCCACATCTATGGCAG